TTTGTTTCTGGAATCCAGGATTGCTGGGTCCCTCTCTTGCTCATCTGTGTTCTGGTCATGCCCACAAGTGCCAGCCATGGTCAGGGCCCTATGGGGCTAGGTGCTATGAATGACTTGCCAAGCTCTCTGAAGGAATTGAAAGGCCTCGCGTCTATCTGTAATCTCAGGTCAGTGGCAGCTGAAGATGCATCAAAGAACTGAATTTTGCCTGACGTGTGGCTACCTGCTGGTAAACAAAGCTCCATTTTCTCACTTGTTTACACTGGGCCTCTCACCGCAGTATCTTGGTGCCTATTCTCAACTATCTGGGAGAGCCCCGGTTTCAAGCGGGCTATTTTTGTTTTCAAGTCATGGGCAATAGAAGTGAGGGATAAGAGGAGAGCCTTCACCCAAGCAGGCTGCATGAGGTCCTGTTCAGCTGCTCTGACTTCTCCCAGCAAACGGCGGCAGGCATAACTGTGGGGCTGCATTCCTTGTTTAATGCCAACTTATCAGTGGAAATCTCAAGCTATATAATTACTTTTTAAAACTGCAAGTGCATTTAATCTGATGCACACACCTCCAAGGGCTCCGGGAGTGTGAAGCCAAGGTCAGGGGGAGCTTTTCAATAGAGTGGCTGAGATGCTATCTCAACTCCAGTTTGTTAACAGCAATTTGTGCAGCTGATGGCCTCCTGCCGTTGCCTTTATTATCACCGTAGGTCTCCCCATGGTCCGCGGATTTCTTGATTAGCGAGCAGCGTTATTGCTTCTTGCAAAATGGAGGGAGAAGAATGAGTCAGGCGGCTTGCACGCAAAAGTAGTCAAAAAGCCGCTGTTAAAAAATTGTACAGTACAGGTTGGACCTCCCTGGTCCAGCATCCTGTCCCGAACCAGGGAGTTTGCCAGACCAAGGGAGATCAATGGCAGCCTCTCTGTTGCTCGGCTCTGGGTTTTCCCCCCATCCACCGGACTCCTAGCCACTGGTCCTGCTGCCTGACTCCCGGCCACCTGGGCTCTCTGGTCCAGGAACATCCTATCAGACCATGGAGGCTGCCAGACCAGAGACTCCCGGATTAGAGAGGTCTGACCTATAGTTGATGTCAGTGTTGTGTTCCTTTTCTAAAGCACTCACAACCGCGAGCGCGTAGCAATTTCAAACGTGAGGTTCATTAGGCAGGTTGCCATGGTATTGTCTGAGAGACGCTCAAGACAACACCACCGTTCACAAAAGCATTTTGTGTGCTCAACATTAAGCAGATGCTGAAGCCTTACTGAAATCAATGGGACATTAGCATATGCGCTTTTGTGTTTTGCTGGACAGGGATGGATTGCCGCAAAGCTTCAGTGATTCCTGGCACTGAAACCTGAATGGGTACTGGAGACAGGCCACAGCGGATGTCTACGCTGCAGAGAGAGACTGTGGCACCACGTCTCGGAGCCTGAGTCAGATGGCTTAGGCTTATCAGGCTTGTCAGGCTCCAGCGGTGGAGCTAAAACTAACAATGAACGTGTTTGGACCGGAGTCTGGGCTCTGAAACCCAGCAATGGAGAAGGCCTCGGAGCCTGGACTCCAGCTTGACTCGGTGCTGCGGGTTTTTCTTCAGAGCACAGACACAGCAGGGAAACTTCCAGCTCAGACACCTGGCAAGTGTGGGCTGGCCAAAGGAATGTCGCAGCTGGGACAGACTCCATTATATGCATATGGGTGGCTTCTGTCGGATGTCAGCTGTGGAGCTATCGTACATTTAGGAGCAACCTGCTGCAGCTGCACTAAGACTCTCATCCCAACATGCTGAAAGAGTCTTTCACCAGTGGTTTGGGGGACCAAGGGACCTGAGGCGCTGCACTCAAATACATGTGCTAAGAGTGCCTAGAGAGACAGCGCATTAGCCTGCACTGTGGCTGGTCTAGGCAGCTGGTTGAGGGGCAGTGTGGACTGGTAGCTTATTGCTGGGTGGATCCAGGAAGGGGCCAGTGAAGATACAGTACTCCTACATTAAAATGGGTGATGTAATTCGTGCCAGTCAACATGGGTTTATGGCAAATAGATCCTGTCCAACTAGTTTGATACCTTTTTGGAGGGAGATTATAAGTTGTGTTGAGGTACTGTATGTAAGTGTCTCTAAAGCATTTGACTTCTTCACGCAACACACAGTTGACCTGTGGAACTCCTTGCCGGAGGATGTCATGAAGGGAATTGGGAGAGTGGTAAATAATGAAGAGGCCCAGAGTTTGATACAGAGGGATCTGGATCCGTAAGTAAGCTGGGTGCAAGCAAACAATGTGTGTTCTAACGTGGCTAAATGCAAACATCCAGGAACAAAGAATGTAGACTGTACTCACAGGAGCAGGAGGACCCCAAGAAAGAAACAGGAGCTCTGAAAAAGATTTGGGAGTTGTGGGACAGGCCCAGCTGGACATCTGCTTCCAGTGCAATGCCGGTCCCGGAAGATGCTTTTCGGATGCCTATATTCAGGAATCTTGAGTAGGAGTGGAGAGGTTCATTTACCCCTCTATTTGGCATGGGTGCAACCACTGCTGGCCCATGGCATTCAGTTCTGGTGTCTACAATTCAAGGAGGATGTCACTACATTGGAGCGGGTTCGGAGAAGAGCTACAGGCATGATGAAAGGTTCAGAAAACAGATTTAGCTCCTTGAGCCTCACAGAGAGGCATGACCGGACTGCAGTCTTTAAGAATCATAGTCCTTGGATTTATAGAACTGGAAGGACCCTCGAGAGACCAGCAAGTCTAGTCCCCTGCCCCCACGGCAGGACCAACAGAAGTCCTACATGGGGAATAAATATTTAATAATGGCTCTGTGGTCTAGCAGAGAGAGGTGTAACACGACCCACTGGTGGGAAATTCAAACTGGAAATCAGATGTACGTTTTAATAAGTGGCAGCTGAAAGAAAAGTCAACTCAGACCTGGCTTTGGGACAACACCGCTATCAGTTCTTCTTACACTTTGGTCATCAGGTGTCTTCAGCACCCATTCCAGCGATCCAGCTCTTCTTTTGCATCCTCCCTCCCACAGCCATCTCTACTGTATAAATGCTTCTCCCAGACAAAACTCTGCACAAAACGTACGGCGTTCGCTAATTAGAATAGCAGTTACCACTTACGTTTAGATTCCAATGTACCAATCAAATTTTATTTCCTAATTGTGCTACATTATCACTAATTAGAATAGCAGTTTTTACTTAATGGATTATATTTAAATTAAGTCGCTTCCATCCAATGTTTTTTTTCCCTACTTACATTTTAACTAATTGGCTCAGCAATTATTAAGTTAGGTTTAAATTGAAATATATCAGGCTGTTAGCGACTCCTATGATAACACGCCTATAGTCTATGTAAGACTAACAGGAATGATTAAGATACAGTCCAGTTAATTAGATTTGGAATCAAAATAATTTCCTAAGTGTTTGAATAAAAATGGAGCGTATACCACTCTCTTGGCATGTCACAGAGAAGGAACATGTGGGCTCAGTTTGGATGCAAGGTAGATATTATTACTAATCCACATAGAGGCCAGGTTTGCAAGCCAGAACACTTAGCTCTGAGTCAGGAAAGCCTTTAAGACTCATTGAATTAAGGAACTGGATGCGAGCACTTTCAACTCTCACATGTACCTTTGGAAATCTCCCCCATGGACCTCAATGGGACAGATGCTTAAGTGCTTGCCTGAATCAAGTTCTGGTAAAAAAGCCTGTGTCTTGCCCATCTATACTTGTGTTTCTTCTTCATTTCTTTACTACAGCCTTTCACCTCTCAGGCCCAAAGGGGAAGGTTGAATCAAGGTACACAGCTCCAGCTATAACAACGAGAAGTCCTGTGGCTCCTCCAGCTATGTTAATTACGAAGCTAGGGTCGACATACATTGATTTGAGTTTCCCTGCTGTCCTCATATCAGGAGGCAAACGCTCCCATTGGCTTCCCTTACTCCTCACAGGAGCAGGACTACTAGTGCCAATGGGAGTGCCTCTGAGTTCGATTTAGCGGGTCTTCACTAGACCTATTCAATCAAACTCTGAGAAGATCAATCACAGCAGCATCAAACTTCTATTTAGTAAATACATGATGTGAGTTATATTTCAATTGGTGTCAGATGTGACCTTGTCGCCTGAAATGCTGTTGCCATCGAGTTACACTGAGAGCTCTTGTATCACTCAACCACCACCAGCCTTGCAAATCGAGAATCCTCATTCTACAGCTGCGGCTAGCAGAGTTAATAGAAGATCAATCACAGCAGCATCAAACTTCTATTTAGTAAATACATGATGTGAGTTATATTTCAATTGGTGTCAGATGTGACCTTGTCGCCTGAAATGCTGTTGCCATCGAGTTACACTGAGAGCTCTTGTATCACTCAACCACCACCAGCCTTGCAAATCGAGAATCCTCATTCTACAGCTGCGGCTAGCAGAGTTAATCTTGCCCCCCCCCCCCCCCAGGAGATCTTTGGGATGTGCTACCCATAGCACAGCAAGAGCAGTGATGCTGCTGCACTTAAAGGGTTAATTGTGCCCTGTTCCCCATAAGGACCCACCAGGATGAGGGGAAACTTCCCAAAATTGCTGTGGCCCAGTTCTGTCATTCTTACTAGGAATTGCGGAGAAATAACTTCCACTCCTGCACACTTTCAGCCAATCAGCAAGCAGGAAGTTGCATTGCTGAGAAGTAAGCATTGCTATGGGTCAGCCAGGTAGTGCATCCCTGCTCTCTGACTGGCGGAGGGTCTCTTTCCGTAGACCCAGGACTGTGTATTCCTGGTGCTCGTGCAGGAGCACAGGTATAGATTAGTGACCCTTGCACTTTTGTGTAATCAGCTTTGTATCTACACCGCTGCACGCTAACATCTTCCCTGCAATCCAGACCAAGCTGGATCACGTTCTCAGGAGCTGTGGGAGGTTCCTATGGAAACGACGGCTTTTGTTTACCATGAGCCAATATGTCTGTATAAATTAAAAGGGGATGGGAGGCATGAGTGAGAATTCCACCACCTCTCCGGAGGGAGCAAATGCCTGACACCAGGGAAAAGGAAGCCCGTGGACACTTACTCTCCAACGATATTACCAAGCAACTCAGGTGAGATTGAATGATCTACGCTAGGACTGTACCATGTTAGCTGCCCTCCCTGGGGTTGTTTAAAAGAAACCGACAACCAATACGCTGCCCAAATGGGTCTTGAGTCATAAAGTGGAAAAAACAACAACAACAAAACACTTCACAGAATCCGATCCCACTGGCAAGCCTGGGAAGGGAGAGGGAGAAGGTCGACTTCCTAAAGCAGAGGTAAGAACTCAGCACCCCCCAGTTTCTCTTTAGGCACCTCCATGAGTGGGCAGGATGTCAATCACGCGCTGTTGGGTTCTGAAGCTTTTTGAAAGCCTGGCCACTTCGAAAGGACAGCGTCCAGCTGGAGGGGTCTAGTGCACCTGCTGCCCGGCTGGGTTTTAGGGACGGCAGCTGGGCCTTATAAAGGGGAGGCTATTCACCGACCCCTCTCAATCTGGGGAGGGCCGGGGGCTGCTCAGAGTAGCGGTGGCCAAGGCTGCAGAGAGCAGGAGGCCCTCTTTAGCCAGAGTGGGTTCGGCAGGCCGGCTCCCCAATCAGAGGGTATGTCTACACTTGCACCCTCTTTTGAGACAGGGATGCAAATGAAGACATTTGAAATGGCAAATGAAGCCGGGATTGAAAAATCCCACGCTTCATTTGCATATTCCCGTTATGGCGCTATTTCGAAATAACAGCCGATGTTAAGACGCGGTTATTTCGAGAGCAAACCCTTCTCTCAAAATAATCGGTAAACCTCATTGTCTGCGGAATTAAGGTTATTTCGAGAGAAGCTGCATCTTAACAGCAGCTGTTATTTCGCAATAGCGCCATCACGCGAATATGCAAATGAAGCGTGGGATATTTTAATCCTGGCTTCATTTGCAATTTCGAATCTCTTCATTTGCATCCCTCTCTCGAAAGGGGGTGCAAGTGTCGACATACCCAGAGGGATGGCGAATGTCGAGCTCCATCTAGGAAAGACGGGGCGGGGAAGCTTATTGACGAGCAGAGTGGGGCACTTAAGGTCCAAGACGGCTCTGTAGACCAGAGCCCTGTATGAGATTTATTTTGCGGTGATTTCCTTTGAGGACTGTTTGAGTCGGATATGAAACCCGACCCAGGCAGGGGTGGTGTTATCCAGGAGAAAGCAGCTGTGGAGTTTATCAAGGAACCCGGAAGGAAGGGGAAACTGAAACAGGGCTCTGCAGAGACACCCCAGGTAATGAGGGGGAACTCACCAGGGGACGCACTCCACAACATGGGAGCTGAGCCCTCCAGTTGCGGGTAGTGCTCAAAACTGAGCCTTCTGTGCAGTGTTTAATAATACACATCACAGCAAAGAGATCTTGAAAATGTGTTTCTCTTTTTCATTCAGACCAAGATCTTAATGTCAAGGTAACCACAAAAGTGGATGTAATCAAACGCTCCTCTGGGGAGAGGAAAGCCAGGGAGAAGTCAAAGGCAAAGCTCAGTGGATGGATGAGATGGATCAACTTGAGAGGTAGGAGGTTATAAGCCACTCCTGAAATGAGCGATTTGAAAGATTGAGCATGTCTTTCATTGTAACGCTGCCATAGACGCGGAGGCAGATTGCTGGATGATTATTTGTAACGTGGAGCGATGAGAAGATTTTATCTATTTTCATTCCAATTTACTCTGACTTTGCAAAACAGCTTTTCCCTAAAGCGTGTGTTCCCTTTTGCAGCACGATAAGAATTCGGAGTTTTAGAAGTATACAGTTAAAAGCCCAAATGGGGGTATTTTCCTCCTCTTATATAACTTCTAAGGAGTCAAATAAATCCTGAAAGATTTGCTTTATTTTTGTTGTTAAGAACTGTTGGCTAGAATTCCCAGCCCAAGCTATATTTGTTGCACAGGCAAAATTTCCAGAGTTGGGATTCCAAATGCATAGCCTTAAAAAAAGAAATAACACACAAAACCAAGGGTCATGAGTGTGTGTTTGTATGCCAAGATAGCTGCACCTAAAAGGGTGTTACAAGGAGGAGGGAGAAAATTGTTCTCCTTGACCTCTGATGTTAGGAAGTTTTTCCTAATGTCCAACCTGCTGCAATTTAAGCTTCTTGTCCTACATGTCAGGGTGGTTAAACACGAATAAATTGCGTTGGGAGGTTGTGGAATCTCTATCATTAGAGATATTTAAGAGCAAGTTGGACAGACATCTATCAAGGATGATGATGATCTAGATCAGGGGTTCCCAAACTTTTTGACATGGCAGTAAATCCATTCACTAGCTTTTGGAAGACCGGCAACATTCATTTGCATATTTACATATTCATTAAGCAAATGATGAATATTCAAATACATTGTTTCTGGTCCTCCCAAAGCCCCCAGGGCCAGCTTTAGCAAAGTTTTCAATATGGTCACCCACAATATTCTTGCCAGCAAGTTAAGGGAATGTGGATTGGATACATGGACTGTAAGATGAGATGGCTAGACCAGGGTTTCCCAAACTTTTAACTTTAGTTGGAACCCGTTTTTTTTTTCCAATACTGTTTTTTGCAGCCCAAAAATATAAACGCATATAAAAAAAGATTGAAAAATGCATAAATTTTCAGTGTTTCACCCGGCTGCATCCTCCACCCAGCCTGGGCCAGGGGTTGGGGGACCCAGTGCCGAATGGGAACTTCAGGAGGCAGGAGTGGGAGCAGGAGCAGACTGGGGGTAGGGTATCTGGCTAGGAGGGAGGATGCAAGGATGGGTAGGGTGGCCAGGCGTCCGGTTTTGTCCTGGACAGTCCTGTATTTGAGAGTTCTGTCCTGGAAACAAATTGAGAAAATACCGGACGTAGAAAATACCAGACATTTTCTAATTAGGTGAGTTTTATTATTATTAGGTGTATCAGTCCTTAGCTGTGAACTGCCTGGCTGGTAGATGTGCTCAGGCTGCGTGAGTGTGTCTGCGAGCCAGACAGTTTGCAACTACTCGAGGGAGGGTATGCGCGGGGGGAGCAAAATGGAATCCCCGGGGCTGGACTCACTCATGTGCCCGGGTCTGCATATGCCCGGGTAAGTCCCTCTTCCTGCTGGCTGATTCGCTCCCCTCCCCTCCCCTGTCCAGCCCTGCTTCCGGCGGCCGGTTCCCCCCCCCTC